AGCACCAGGCGCGGTAACGGAGCCGCCGAGCGGTTTTGACACGCCGAGCTGGCAGCCGCGCCGAGGTGTTGAGCATCCCCAACTTCTCAGCTCCTCCTGCCTCCCCCTCCCCGCCCCACAGGCGAACCGGGGTGTCATTACGCTGCGGGTGCCGGCGCTAATTATAGTGCCAGCCTTCGCGCTCGCAGAGATGATAATTGAGGTAGAGCATTACAGTGTTTCCAAACCCGGCGCCGCAGGCAAGAGGGGGTTTTCGCAGCGGATCGGAGGAGCCGCCGGCGCCACGCTCGGAGTGCCGAGCCCCGAGAGGTGGGACAGCATCTGCTCCGTGCCAGACTCACCAGAGACCCCGGTAACGAGCAGGGCAGGCCAGGAGCAACCGTTTGAATCACAACCTGAATTACTCCTTCGGGCGAAATCGGTGCTGGCACCCTGCGACCTGCAGGCAGGGCTCTGGGGAGCCCGATGCGGGCTCACGTCCGACCGCTGCGTCTTGAAACCTCTGGATGGGTTTGGGCAAAGCCCCGCTGAAAGAAGGATGCGTGTGGGGGGCTTTGCAAACAGTCACCGTCACCCACCCAGCCCCACAAACAGCGCCGTGGGGCTGCTGGAAAGGCACACGGCTGCTGGAAAAGAGCAGGAGCAAGACTCTGGGGACAGGGCTTGGCAGGGACAGACACCTCGGCCAGAGATGCTGAGCAGGGGCTGAGCAGCAGAACCACCCGCAGGCCACCTCCCTCGCACACCTTTCGGGATATTAAGCTTTAATATTGTGACCTTTAAGACACAAGAGAGAATGTCTGAGCCTCTGAAACTGTCCAAGGGTGGCTTTGTGCTCTGGCAGAAGTAACGAAAGGTGAGGCTGGCACCTCGGCGCCGTGTTGCCATTAACCTATTGCTACGGGCGACGCTTCGGTCGCTCCTCTACAAAACTTGTAATTTTTTTGCCAGTGACAAGAGACAGGATTCTCCAGCTGACACAGCCCGAGGCAGCGAGATGCACGCACCACCCGGCTCTTCATCCTGACACTTTGTTTGAAGGATGAAATCCAATTATGGTTCTCTCCGTGCAAACACTCCCCGCCTTTTTTTTTGTGCATGTGGCTAATTTAAAGCTCCCTACCTGCCTCAGCCGCCGGGCATCTACGTCCCCTGGCAATATGCAGCACTGAACTAAGGTATGTGAGTTACATACCCGTAATAAAAAAATGAAAAAGAAAAAAAAGGGATGAAAAGAGGAAAATTATTTTGCTGTTGCTGACAAGACTAGAGCAGCGTTAAAATGTACAGAAATGGCCCGTTTGGGCAATGCATGGGCAGATCCCCCACAAAAGGTGCAGGAGTTGCGGGAGTAGGAGCTCCTGAGGGTGCTGGGGACTGACAGCCGGCTGGGAGGAAGGGAAAAATTACTGCCCTGAGAGAAGCAAGTAGCAGCCAGGCTAGCAAGGATGGCAGCTCAGGAGCGCTCAAGGAGAAAAACGCCCACGCGCAGCCCGGCTCCAGCGTGAGGCAGCTCGCTGCGTGCTGGCTTGGATTTTATCCGGCTGTTCCATCCCCGGCACGCTCTTGCAGGGGGAGAAACGCAGGATCTGGGAGGACAGACCCATAACGGAGTCTTCTCACCCGGGAAACCCACCCAGACAGCTGCTCTGGCATCAGTTAAAAGTCACCCTCGAAACTGAAAAGCACAAGGGATGGCTCAGAGCAGCTCCCACCTCCCCGGCTCTGCTGGTTAGAGCAAGCCCCGTGCTGCAGCAGCTCTCAGGGCTGACAATAGCCACCTCCTTGCCAACAAGCCAGCTCAGAAACCAAAGGCAGTCGTCGTTTCTCCCCAAGTTTACCGATCCAAGCTACATAGAAAAGCTTTTTCCTACTCCTCCTGCACCCACAACCCACTCAGGCTACAACCTGAGACAGGCAGAGACTGAGCAGAGAAGGGAGAAAGGAAAGGGGAGGGGAAGGAAAAGAGGAGGGAGGAGAGAGGAAACCAGGAAAGCAAACGTTTGAAAAGGTTGCCTTATGCTGCTTTCAACATCACCAAGAACTGCAAAGCAGCCGAGTGTCCTCAGCTCTTACAAATTTATCTCATCTTTTTTTATTGTATCTTTTTCCATAGTTGCAAAACCCAACCCGTGGCAGGACGCAGTCCTCGAAGACTCGGGGCTCTGCAGTTTTTGCATTTATTGGCAAACTCCATCCCTTGAATAAGAAAACCTCAACCGTACGTGTTCCCACTGAGAAGCGGCGCTTTAAAATGCATCTCTTGCTGGTGCGCAGACCAGAAGAGAAACTAAGAGAGACCTGAATCGGTTGTCTTTACAACCTCATCTTTCTCAATATACTCTCAGATTTCCAATTTTCACCCACGACAGGCTGGCAGCAGCGAGCGAGGCTGCAGATGTTCAGGACGCAGCAGCGAGCCCGAGCCCACGGGCTCCCCCTGAGCCCCCTCCCCACAAAGGCTTTTGCTGCCAAGACCTTCCACGGCTCAGCCCTAACCAAGGGAAGGGGATCTGACGCGCTAGATCTTGTCACAAAGCACCCGAGCACCCGCTCAGCAAGTGCCATCTGCGAACGGCGAGGAGAAGAAGGAAGGGGGGGAGGCGGTAGCTCTGTGCATCCTCCCAGGACGGCACCGACAGACAGACAGACGGATGGATGGACCGACGGGGCTTACCTGGGATGTTATGGATGGTTATCGCGAGGATCATCAGCATAATCCGCCTCCAGCTGCTGCTGCCGGCCATCGGGGCAGCGTCCCTGGCCACGGGGAACACTGAGGGGCTGTCAGGCAGGCTGGCCCCCGCACCCCTCCTCCTCTGATAGGGCTCCCCATTCTCCCCTTTGTCTGTGGGTACAGAAAAAACATCCAGCTGAGAGGGTGTTGGACAGACAGCCGGGCACCCCCTGCCTCCCCTCCCACAAGGAAAAAGCAGAGAGAAGGGAAATCACTGACCCAAGCAAGGCTGAAGGTGTGTGCATTGGTGTCCCCTTTCATTTCAGGTTAGGGTGGGGGATTCGCAGGGAGACTCCCAGCCCCACACAGCT